AAAGCATCATATAAAAATTATTTTTAAATACTTCACAACACTGAATCTTACTTGTTTTTCTACGAATACACGAGGTTTTCCTAAACCTATTTGTAAGAAATAAAAACCTACATTATAAATCTTTACGATATATCACTGTAAATTTAAGACAGAATTTTTGGCATTCTAAAAATCAGTATGGTTTTGTCTCAAAAACCAGTACGTTGTCGAATAAAACACGATTTTAACTTTTAGGCACTCTACAATGCACATTTCCGGGTATATCACCTCACTGCAAGATGAATGCAATCCCGAGACCAATATACCTCCAAAACGATATTGTTATTTACTATCCTGAAGACTCGGAGTACAAACTTGATTCTGAAGGAGTTCTGGTCTGTCTAGCAACAGGAAGCTGGTCTAAACCAGTGCCAACGTGCTCAACTGTATAAAAGTTGTAACTGAAACTAAATTTTTTAAGTTAAATTTTTCTTATCTTTTAAAATTTAAGGAATAAGATGTGCGAAAGAAATAACAGTGAAATATTAAAGTTACCAAAAAATGAACCAAGTTATTTTCAACCTACAAATAGAAAAAAAATACGCAGTTTTTTGAACAAGAAAATCTAAAATTTTAAAAACTGCATAAGCGATTGGTTTAGAACGGTGACAAACTTGACGTTTTACAGCAATCAAAATTGATGTAATGCAACAGTAAAAATTTTGTAAAATATGTCTTATCGATTAAAACCAACTAGAATAAAGACTATTATTTGATAGTAACTCAATTAATGTAGCATAAAATAACATTTGCCTTTCAATTTTGATTCACTAAATGTGTAAATTGATTGCCAGGTTCCCAAGCTGAAATAGAAAACTATTGAAACGCTGGGAGTTTATATGCCAAATATTGTTTATTTTTTGTTGTGTTAAACAAATAAATGTGGCTCTCGTAGGGAGCTCTTTTTTAGTTTCAAACCTCCAGTTTACTAGTACACCAAAAGTAGCTCATGAACCTTGTACAGTATTTGTTACATAAGGCAATTACGAATAAGATCGAATATCTAAACTTATTTACACAGCACAAATCATAATTAAAATTTGCAAGAAAGTAATTTAAAAATTTTCACAAGTTTATAAAACTGTACCAATCTTAATAATGGAGTTTTGAAATTTTCGCTTGTAATATTCTCTTTTTCTACTAAGAAAATAATCCAGAAAAGCATGCAAAAATTTTGTTTTTTTAGTTTATTCTAATAATAACGTTCTTTTATCCAGTTGTAAATATACAACTGGATAAAAGAAGGTTATTATTGTTGTTGTTGTTGTTACCAGTCGATCACTCAAACAAAGAAGCAATTCATCGAACTGCAGAAATTTATACAATTACAAGTCCTGAAAGAACTTGACACTAACAAAAACAATCTTACTGAGCCTTCCCCCAGTTACCACCTTACTAACAAATTGGTATGTTGAGTGAGTGCGAATGTAATGCCTTACCTGCAAAAGAAATTTTAATTTTTTTACTTTTTTTCACTTAATTTTACTTTTTTATTTACTACTGCTTCTCCTACACTGCAATGCGTATGACAGTAAATAATCCTGTTGCCTACATACAAATATATGCCTACCTAAAACAAGAAATTTCTTTGATGGACATTAAGTCAATCATAAATCACAGCCAATTTTATCAGAGATGCTTCTTCCAGCATTAACTTTTGCACCCATAGATATTTTGACTTTTGTTTTCTCTTGAATTTCGGCACAACAACAAAACCAGTCAGAAGGTCAGTTTTAGTAGTTCAAAAATTAGTAGTTCAAAAAAACGTTGCCGGTTACTGGGAAATCCCAACTTCTTATCTTCAAGTTTTTTTTTGATGTTTGGTCGACGATTAGCAGCCTCAGTTTTCTGTAGTCAGTGGAAAGACTACGTTTTTTCTTCATAAAACACAAAGTATATTTGGCAAACTTAAATTACTTAGACTTATTTTCAAATCACTTTTATTTTTTCTTTTCTTTTAAACATTTGTTTTTTCAGTTTTTTAAAACTTTTTTTAATGGGTCGGTTTTACGAATTCTGTCCTAATGTATTGGGCGTAATTTTGATAGAAGAAGATTTTGATGATTAACGAAAAAACTGAACAGTTTCTGTGTAAATCTTAAGGTCAGCAGATCCGTTTTATTGATGCTTCTCTTGTTAACGAATATTCATTGATAGACTTTACACTTAATTTTGTTTTCTTTTTTCTTTTTTTTTTTCAATATATATGCGTAAGTTCAGGCTTTATACAGTCTACATACAGTCTCTCACAGTCTTTATACAGTCTCATATTGTACTCGATTGCTTTCATTTTCAATGAGATATCTTAAATCTCTGCACTAAAATTATTCTGCTTTTGTTTTTCTGACTTATTCGAGATAACTTTTAAGTTTTGAATAGAAATGATAAAGAAATAACATATATAAAACTTTAAATTTTAATAAAATAATATGTTATGCGTCTAACTCTTTCCCAAAATATTTTAATAAGATACTTTTGAATGGCAAGTATTTCTTTTATTTTGTTTATTTATTTTTCTAGAAATTATTAGGAACAGATAATTATCCTATGTTTTTTTTTTTTTGAAACATTTAATTTTTCTGTTTCTGATATAGTTTTTTCTCAGCTGAATTGCGGTTTATTGATACGGAAACATATGGTAGAGGTTTCCCCAAAGACTCCGCCCAGCGTCAAATGTGCCTGGCGTACGTACCCACCGACTGCATAAGTTTCGCATATTTACCCCATTTTTACCTATTTGCTAGCACCTATCTTTGTTGTTTGTGTGAACTCTGCGAACTCTTTTTTGGCGTTCTTTTTTGAAGATCCGGCAGAGACCTTATATATGTTTTCATTTCCAGCTTTTTTTTTTTTTCTTTTCAATATCCTTATAAGTCACCTTTTTTCTTGGTCTGCAAAACCAGTCACTTTTTTAAAGGTTTTTTACAATTATTTATATAAATAAATGTTTTTCCTTTTCCGTTTTTTCTAACTCTGAAGGATTTTTTGTTTGTTATATTCTGGTAGTCTAGCAGTTTCTTTCCTTTTTTTTTTCGTAATCTACTAGACTTATTTTTGCATATACGAGGTACAGTAGACTCTCTAATTTTCTTTTGAGATTTTTATAGCTGATATGTGCATTAACAACATAGCACTGATAAAGCTTCAAAACAAGTTTAGAACAAAAAATACTAAAAAAAAAATTTAAGACTGTATAGAGAAGTGAAAAAGTTTGACGAAAGCAGGAAAAAACTGTCAAAAAAAAATGCGGAATTCTGCGGGCTTTCAGACCAAATCTAAGAGAGGTTACCACTCCTTACCTATAAACGGCTCTAATTCAAAAAAAAAAAAAAAACTGTCTTTCAAGAATAAAAATAAATTCAAAAAGAATTATGGAAAAACTATTGGTGTTTAAAAAAGTGGGGAAAAACTAAATAGATATACAGAATTGTGTAAACGTACAAAGAGATGTTAACAAATTTATTCCAGGAAAACAAAAAACAAACATAAAAAAAAGATAGAGGTACCGAGTGGTGCGTTTGACAAATAATTTGATAGCTTTACAGTTAATGGGTCCGCAGAATTTTTTCAATGATTACTTGGATGAAGTCTGGGTTTTTTCGTTTAGGCTTCCTGAATTTTTATTCAGTTTGTTTCACAAAAGGTTATTAATTTTTTTAAATAAAACGTGATAGAGGAAACACCTTTCTATTTCTAGGTGATTAGTCTTATTTTATTTCTTTTGTGTTGAACAGTTTTTCTTTTTGTTTGATCATTTTTTGATTACTTTGTGCATTTCAAAAATCCGGAAGTTTCCCATTTTTTTGTCTTTCTTGTTCATCTTAAATACCGACCACAGTTTCAATGTTTGGTAACGTTTTATTTTAAAGTCTTTTTCTACGTTTACACAATTCATTACTCTCTCTATGCTTTTTTTGAAAATTTTTTCTGCAGTTTGTTGTTTATCTTTTGCATGTTCATATAATGCGGTAACTGTTTTTAAAACTTCTTCATATGTGCGAAATGTTTAGTAACTTTACTTCGGAGTCTTTTTAGTGGGATTCCATATATTGCCCGTTTTGAACTTAAGTGTTTGCGACTGTCATCGCTGGTTATTTTGAATGCATCATCTTCTAAACTTCGTCAGGAATCTATGTTGCCTAGTCATTTATTTATTTATTTATTTTTTTGCATTAAATAAAAAAATTTTGCACAGTTTTCGTTTGATCACTTCACAGTTACATTATGTTGCGATTCCTCGCTGAAGTCAGAGCAATAAATTAGTATGTAACCTAGTGGCTTCCGCTACAGAAATACACTGTAGTTAGTAAATCACGGCTTTGAAAACTTTCACCTACCATGTGTAGCATTTAAAGAAACATAAGCATATTCATTTGTCAAGATTCAATTCCTTCGTAGAATATTATGTACAGTAACCAGTAGAAGGAGAAGGAACTGCTGCCCATTTCATCAACTGCGGGCAACCGCTCAGAAAACTCATTGGTGGTACTTCGTCTCATGCAGTTTCTGGTTCATATAAGTAGAGGGGTGCAAGTTTTTTCTCTACTGTTGAGGATTCTTTGTGGCTTATGTTGTGTTACTGAAGAAAGTGAAACACTGAGGAGTGTTCGCATCAATGCAATTTACAATCATTAACTCAATAAAAAAATGTTTATGAGCCCCAAGCCTCTGTTTCGTTTATTAGCATCTCTATGGATTTGGATTATGGCTGGCTCGGCGTTATTGTATTTGGTACAGTAGTTTGCCAGTCTAAATTCTGTTCCAGAGTGCCACGTCACTACGTCATTTTGTCCAGGCTGCTGAAGTGCGATATGCGGCTCTCCTATTTGCTGCAGATTAGGTCACGCCTTCCCTGTTCTTATTAGAACTTCTGAAAAGTTGCATAACACAATTTTTCCCTTTTACGCCGGAAAATCGTCTTGTGTTTAAGAAACACACAACGTAGACGGTCACTTTGAAGAATTGCCTTTTATTTTGAGAGTGTGATCTGTTTATACAGTCGGAACAGATACAATGTTTCACAGCTGTGACCAGTAAAGGCATTGGAGAAGAACCGGCTGTCAAAAGCAGGACGGCTGCAACCACTAGCGATTAAATTATAGCGCTTTAACAGATGAAGTGGTTATTGTAATTTAAAAAATAAACGTTTGTTCTGAGTAAGTATCGTAACAGACGAATTGTATCGTTCTTAATATGTGGCGATAGATTTAGCATGTTCCTGTTCGGTCGAAAGCCAAGTTGTTTAAACAAACAGGTTATTCCAAGCCAAATGTTTCAAATATCTGCTAATTTTGTTACCTAATCATTCCGTGGTCATGGGCATTTTTTCAGCCCATCAACCGGTATGCCGCGTGTTGAATATGAGCCAAAGCTTGACTTCAAAGACGTCTTCCTCCGACCGAAGCGATCGACGTTAAAAAGTAGGGCCGAAGTCGACCTTCACAAACAGTTAGTTAAATGCATAGTCTTGGAAAGCTTCTTTGGTTCTACAGCTTTTTCATATGTTTTTCTTTTTCGACTCTTCATCAAAGCGGCACTCTGGTGACTTATTTCCTTACCAGATTGTTCTCCGATAGCAAAGATGTGGTTATTCTCTAGCATTTAATAATTAGACGTGTTTTTGCAAGTACTCATATTGGATTCTAGGAAGGGTGAGGGCGAGCTTTTTTGCCAGGCCAGTACTTAGATTGAATCAATGGTTTTTGAGGTATATCTTTCGGAATTCCAAGAAGACTTACAATGGAGTCCCAGTGGTCGCTTCAAATATGGATACTGTTGGAACCTTCGGGATGGCAGAAGTACTTGCGAAACATTCGCTCTTCACCACTATTCACAAACATTATACCGTAGCTGAGTGGACTGACTTTGTTGAAAGAATAAATCACGACACACAAGTAATCTTATCTCTGCTGCTTAGAGTTGCGGGAATTTTATTTTATTTTTTTCAATGGAATATTAGCGTTGGCAACGTTGGTAGTAATCTTACCAAATAATTGTAGATCATTTCTCAAATTGGCATTTCTTCTGGTATATCTCAAGCAGATTTTGACAAACTGCGTGAAGTGCTTCATTTGATTCCTGAAGTTGATTACATTTGCTTGGATGTAGCTAACGGGTATTCAGAAGTTTTTGTCGACTACATACGACGGGTGCGAGAAACGTTTCCAACAAGAACTATATTTGCTGGTAACGTAGTAACGGGAGAAATGGTTGAAGAGTTAATTCTTGCTGGAGCTGATGTTGTTAAGGTATGGTATAATAATTTATAACTTTGTACCTATCAAGTTTCTTATATCTCTAAAAATTGGCTTTTTCAGTTAGTTGACTGCCCCGTAGTGACTGCTTCATTTTATTTGCTTGCCAATTGAGTCTTAAGAAGAACCTTCGTTACTTTGCAAATTGTCATTGCATTAGGAAGGTAAAACGTTACTTGTTTGTTTTTAAGCCCTTTGTTAAGGTTGGCATAGGTCCAGGTTCGGTCTGCACTACCCGAAAGAAGGCCGGTGTTGGTTACCCCCAATTAAGCGCTGTGCTGGAATGCGCGGATGCAGCTCACGGCTTGAATGGTCATATAATGAGCGATGGCGGATGTACAAATCCAGGGGATGTTGCGAAAGCATTTGGAGCTGGTGCTGATTTTGTCATGCTAGGAGGTCATTATTCATAGTATTGTTGCTATTAAGTCAAGAATCGTTAAGTCCTAGTGATGAGGTATCTCTGAATGTCACTTCTCCGGAAGTTCTAAGGTTTTGTTCACGTAATAGTCATCGTCACTATGGCGCTTCTTTGGTTTAAAGAACATCAGTGACTTTTTCCTTCCATATACAGGTCTTTTTGCCGGTCATGAACAGTCGGGAGGCGATGTGATAGAGAAAAACGGGAAAAAATTCAAGATGTTTTATGGTATGTCTTCTGATACAGCCATGAAGAAACATCAGGGAAGCGTCGCTGAATATCGGGCATCAGAGGGCAAAACGGTGGCTATTCCTTACAGGTACTGGTTCTCAAAGTGCTTTTAAGGTTTGCGGAAAGTGTATAGAGGGATTTTCCGTTTTTTGAAAACTTTGTTGCTCAATTTTGTTTGATGTTTAACGTGTTTAACGTGACGTTAAACAATTTTTCTGTTTTTTTGATAAATATTTTTGATGCCGAGTTGTTAAAAGTTTCTTTACAAAACTTTGTAAAATTATAGGATTTTTTATATTTATTTCTAAAAAATTTAGTCAACATTTGATCTATAAAAATAAGTACAGAAACAGTCATACAGAAATAATCGACTATGATTTTGTGTGAACACTTGCAAGAACAGTTGCAGACTGAAAATGCATTTTTATGTTTAATTAAAAAAATCGATTTTTACAAAAAAAAGCCGTTTAAGCTAAGGTTATTAGCTTTAGACAAACCCGACTATTTTCTTCACTTCTTCCCGTCTTTTTGTAACCTTTGCCTGTATTTTCTTAGCCTCTCAACGTTTTCTTGACCATACAAAGGAAGCATCATTGGAGTTCTTTCAGTTTGGTGGCCAAGCTTTTTTCCAGTCAATGAAAATTAATCTCAGTGAATGTGGTGCTTTTTCATTCCAGCTAGTAAAACCGATGGAGCCATCAAACTGAAACGGAGCCGGAAAATCTCAAAGAAAATCTCAATTCAAAAACAAAATGCGATTTACATTCGGCTACATTTTGAAGCCTCAATATTTTGCAAACTTGACTAGTACTTAAGGCTCTGTTGCATTGTTATGAAGCAGCTGCGGTACTAACGGCAACCTGCCAGAATTTCAAAAGTGGAAGATTTAGAAAAAGTGGGAATGTAACATTGCACATCAGTTCAAAAGCGATAAAATTTCTTTAGCAAACATGGGCTTTAAAGAATGTTAGCAGTCGTGGTGATCTGGAAAACCCGTAGAGAACAAGTAAGATTAAAGAAATAAAGGGTTTCAAAATACAGTAATAAAAAAGAGCATGAAGATCAAAAAAATCGTCCAGCAAACTTCTGCTATCCACAAAAGTACTTTTAATGTCTTTACATCAAATTGGCATCCAGTCTTTTTACATCCTTTTGTTTTCTTCAATATTTTTTTTCAGGGGTGACGTGACAAAGACTATACAGGACATTCTTGGGGGATTACGTTCAGCGTGCACGTACACTGGAGCTCTAAAATTAAAAGAGCTCCCCAAAAGGGCCACGTTTATCCGTGTAACACAACAGACAAATGAGCAATATTCAGCTTTTGAGCTCCCAACATTTGAATAGATTTTTATTCCTTTTGAATAGATTGCTATTTCAGTTTGGGAACTTGGCTGTTAGTTTAGAAATCCAGTGAATCAAATCCGTAGAAGAATGATTGCTGTATATTATTTTGCTAAAATCACTGTCAAACATCAACCGTTTATCTAATTAGCTCTAAAAGACAAATACGTTGCTATGAGGTTTTCACCATTGTAATATTCTATTTTAAAAAATATAAAACCATGAGTTTCTCTCGTTGCCCTGTCGTTAATGCACTTTTGGATCTTCAATTGTTTTTCTTTTTTGTACAGCTAAACGGATTGGGATAGCTGTGATCAGCTAGAAATTTTTAAAAAACTAATTTATTGAAAGTTAAGTTTTTACTCTAGGTTTTAGGATAATACATAGTGATACTGTTTTGGTACCGCAATGATTGCTGGATTGCATCCATTTTGTGGCGAGATAGCGTATAGAAAAATTTGCATTGTTAACGGTTTAAAAATTAAACTGAGTTTTAATGGATAGCAAAAGGGTTCTGAAAATGTGCCAAACCACTATGATTTTTAAGAATTCGTAGTTTCTATTTTGTGCTTTTGATGCTGGGGGATGCAAGTTAATATCTGACTGCTGATGTAGGATGTTTCAAGTGGTTATTTGTAGAGCAGTATAAATTTGGCATTGAGCCGGCGGAGTTTTTATGCTTGGTGGTTTGTAATAGAAACCTCTCTTCGTACTTGAGCATGCCTTACTCGCCATTGTTTCATAAGTGAATTCAGTTTAATTACCAGTTCAATGAATCGGGAGGAACAATTTACAGCAAGCCAAAGACTTGCATCACGGCAGTCGCGGAAACCTTTTCTAATCAGTTAGTTGTTTCCATTTGTCTGATATTTAAATTGTTATTGGAATGTTACCATACTAAGTGATCACCGGTCAAGATGGTCGCGTAAGAACTGCAGGAAATTTAAGAAAAAGAAAAGAGGAGGAGTAACTAGGTTGAGTGAACTGTTTTGCTCCGCCGAAGACTTGATCGCACAGCTTACTTTTTGCTGTTAGAAGTCAAGAGAAGCTTTGCTGCAGGGGAGGTATAGAACGTTTAAGAAGCGTCGAAATAGGGAAGAAGATCAAAGTTAGAACCGTGGAGGGTTAGCGCGTGTAGGCCATACCACCTCATAATTGAGAAATAATTTTTCCCACAACGTAACTTAACTAAATCCAGTAACTTTGTGATAATTTGTTTGGCTAAAAGCTCATTAAATGCGGAGGAAAGGAGGCGTTTTTGCATCGTTTATTGAAAGAGCTGCTTCTCAATGTGATACAACCTAAAAATAGCATTATTTTGTCTTTTTTATAGACGGTCTGTTTATTTGTAAGTTAGTATGCAGAGGAGAGGTTAAATGGGTGGGGACATTACATCTCAAAATGGAGGCCAAAAAAAAGTTTGTCTTGGGATGCTGGAGCATATCAAAAGCAATTAGAGCAAGTGTAGTATCAGCGCGTTTTAGGGTTTCAAGATGACGTACCAACTATTCAATTTGAAAGTTGCAAAGAAATTGTATATTTGAGAGCTAGACAGAGGTTTTGAAGCCTCAGACGTCGTAGCCAAACGACTAAGCGAAATTGAATAAAATATTTGTATAAAACTTTATCAAAAAGAAGAAGAAATATTTCTTTACAACAAATCAGAACTGGAGATAAGCATTTTTTTTTAGTTGAAATATCTGCTTCGGCTTGTCCATTTATAATCTTATTACTCCATCTTTTTCTGTAAGGTTCTCTTCGCCAGCTTACTATGCTTACATTTTGTAATTCAAAGTTTCCTTCATTTTTTTAAGAGTAAAGTTTTGAGCTTATTTGAAGCACAATGTCGAGCTAATTTAAGCAGAAAAATTGTTAAAATCTGATTAGAGTTGAATGTTGGAAAAAGCAGGCTTTGAGGATAGTGTCTGAGAAGACAAGGAAATTATATAAGTGTTCTTCAATCCGCAAAACAGTTGCTATAAAAAACAGATAACGTATCTTGAAAAATAAACATACTGGGACACAGCGCAAAAAATGGTAGCATCATTAAAAATTGGTTTTACCACGAAAAACAAATAACTGAGTAGGGAAGAAACCTGACGTTTTTCCATATCAAACTATAGTGAGGAAATAAAAATTGAAATTTGCATACAAGTTGTGCCGGATAAGAATGAAGAGGAATATTGAAACCGTCGCACCGAACTCTTGCAATAGATGATGAATTGGAGAAGTATAACAATTATGGAGAATGTAAATTGTCATCACCTTTTCTAAATACTGAAGTACAGTCTCGGGAAGCGCAGAATTATTATCCAGAAAATAAGGGCCTAAGTTTTTGATATTTTCAAGAGAAGGTGCTTTTTTATTTGGAACAATAAAGCAGGCAGATAGAAAAAAGAAAGGAGCATATAGTCTACTCAAAAATTTGTTAAAACCGTACGATCTATGTCCCATTTGCTTAGCAGAAAGAAATCTTTACAGGTTCAGTTAATGAAATTAAAGCACTGCTCTTCTTTGCCACGCCCACTTCAAAAGATGCTTTACTGTTCGGCAATTTACTCACATTTTTCTCAGGGTTTTCGTTTGATTTAGATTGATAGATTTTTAGGATATCGTATGAAAAAGTGACTTTTTCTTTTTTGCACCTTCAAGATTCAACTTGCATGATTATTTATTTATTTATTTATTTTTTTTGAAATAATTTTGTATGAAAGTATTCGTAGCAGAGTCTCTAAGCCATGATTCTGTTAACACTCCCAGCTTGGTTTTTATCCGTGGTTCTCTGCGAATTTTGATCTACCAAAATGTAGCATGACCGAAACTTGGTAATAGGACCACTTTTGCCGCTCAACCAGCACATTATTCCCTGTTGGTTATTCTGTCAGCTTTTAAGCGGGCAAGTGTACAATGAAAATTTGAACAATGTACGTGAGAAATACTGAGATGACAATTTAGTACGGTACTTTTTTGCGATGGATACAACGAAAGGAGATTTGAGAAATGCACGACTTGGAACCCAAACTATGGAATTGCTAATGAAACCTACATAGAATATCCTGAAATCGTAATATATACATCTGGAACACTTGGCAACTAAATAAAGAAGTAAGTCGTCGGAAATCGAGATCTTTCTTCAGAATGTGCCGAGAAGAACGTTGCAATTAAGGGGGAAAGCCATTAACACGTAGGGCTTAAAAAGTAGATTATATAACTTGATTGCATAGTAATGGATTTTAAAAAAGGAAGATTCTAACGCATTTTTTGAATCCTTGATTAATAGCTGTACTCCTTCGTTCCCATAAAAGGCATTTTTTTAAAAATATCGAACTAAAAGAGCAGGTCATTTCAGTGAATCAACGATTGCTAAATGAAGGTACAAAGACTTTGCAACAAGTCGTCCTCAGTGGACCTCCGATTTCTGCGAAGTCGAGTGAAACTCAGTCGCAGAAATCGGAAGTCCACTGAGGATAACTTGTTGTAAGATCATGCAAAATGGCTGTACATAGATTTCATTCTTTTTTTGAAGGCGAAAAATTCTTTCTGTTTCAATCTGTGACTTGCCGTGTAAGTAAACGTGTTTGCATTTCTTAGTTTAATAAATTTAAATTTTTTCGCAGTGACACTTTTAAGTAAAAAAAATCATATTCTGTTTTGAATGGTGTTCCTTGTCCTAATTACCTCTAGTTAAAATCTACAATTTTATATAAAAAAAAGCAATACTCATTAAAAATGTGGTTTGAATTTTCAATTCAAGGTTTCTTTATTTAAACTCATTTTTTGGATGCCTGAATTAGCTACCGCAATAGAAGGATTTATGGCTCTTTTTTTGTGGTGTTTCTGGTTTGTGCTTCTTGAGATTGACAAGAAATAGATATTGAAGTAAGGTTTTCAGTAATTGATACTTAAACCTCACTAGAAATATGAGTGTCTCAGTTTGAATTTCGGTTTATATTTGCCTTAAAAATGAAGAAAAGTCGCAATAAACTTGCAATATCTGACTAAAATGTAATATTAAAGAAAGGACAAACCTGAAGCCTAACTACCTACTTAAAAGTATTCTGAAAACTTTTATTTAAATAACTAACATTCAATGCAGTCACCACCGACCTTTTTCTGATGGTTTTTATAACATCTACAGTACGGTAAGAACTAAGCTTCAGAACTGGAAACACTTAGAATACTTGAAGATTACTAGTGAAAATCACTACATGCTAAAGTGTTTTCAACAAATATGGTGGCCAGATTTTATAATTAGTAACAGAGATGCACAATAATGCCAATCCAATTTTTTTTGTTTAATAAAACAGTTTAGCAAATTTGTTTGAACTGAATGAAGATAAATGTTAACAGAAATTTTGAAAAAAAAAAAAGATCTTCATGACCAACGCGACCAACGTTAGTGGTCGTCTTTTCAACCGTTACTCGGAATTCGTTAACAGCATCTGAAAAAAAAAATATTGAGAAAAAGAGACGTAGTATATGTGTATATAACGTTGCCAAATCATCTGTGTCGCTGCGTCAAAACTTAAACTCAAAATTTGTAGACATTCGTGGCCTATTCTGCAGCTATAAGCTTCTTTTGCCAGTATAAAGTGTTTTGATTTGTGATGGAATTACGTGAAATTTTGTTGATTGGTTTGACCGACGAGCAGAAAGGCGAAACGAAGGCAGCTGATTTTAACGAGGTCCAATTATAGGCTGATAATGAAAAGGTGTCGAGCGGTAATTTTGTGTGCTAAAGTCGGTGAAAATTAATAAAAAAATATATGGGAGCTGAAAGGTCATTGTAGTTGTTTTTTTTTTTGCGAGGCATTTATTTTGATTCAACATTCTGCCAAAATCTTGACTAATTACACAAACCGTACGCGTCGTTAGTCTTATTGTTTTTACATCTGTCCTGGCCAAAGAACATACTAATCTTTATGGCGCAGATTGCTGACACTTCTAGTGTATCAACTTAGTTATAAATATTTTTGTACTTTTGAATTTTTATAAAATTTAATTTAAACCAAATTTAAAATGTTTTTTCTTTTTCATATAAAAATTTTCAATTTCGTTTAATTTACAAACGCCCACATAACCATGTAAGACCGTTACCCATAGTCTTTCCCAACCTTATTTAAATATGACAGTGACAAGTGTCAGAAATCGCTATAAAATTGACTGTGCTTATGTGGTAAGTATGGCGAAATTGAAGTAAAATCTTAACAACTTATAAAGGTTAAAAAAAGACGCTTGCCAAATGTCACCTCTGCGTTTCAAACGATTCTTTTGTGCTGACAACAGTTTCTTAAAAATTTCTGACGGCTTCATTCGAGCTAGGTCATGAGAGTTTCAGGACAAGTATTATTAAAATTAGACGAGTAAGTTCAGGCGACGAAGTAACAACTGAGAGAGTAATTCTAATGATTTTATGAGACAATGTTGATTACAGCTATTGTTATGGTAAAAGCAAAAACAGTAGTTATAGAAGTGATTTTCACCTGTACAAAATGCTGAAGGATTTTCTATATAAATAACTTTCACTATAAATCTGCTATATTTACACATATATAAAGTTATTTGTGGTTTGGTAAATTGCTGATCAAGGTGTCATTTGCTTTTTGATCTTTTCAGCATTTGGGCTAGACAGTCGATATAATGTTGTGCCATCTGAAGCGTTTCAAATTTCGATAATCGTTTGCCGCTGTTCATTTCAGGCAAAACGGTTCGTAACTAAAAATTTATTTGGAACCGTTTAAGTATATGATAATATTGAAAATGCTTAAGCTGGCCTACTCTAACCTATAAAAAAACTTTAAACTAGAACAAACAGTTATTATGCTATAATAATAAGCGTTAAAAAGTTAAAACTAAATTTACTTGAACTACTCAAGTGATTTATTTTTGATAGTACAAAAAATAAGCAGCAATTTCTCCCTCGCTTTTTTGTAAAAAAATTTTTTTTTT